AGTGTCTGTTGATTTTACTTGCTTGTTTTGATTGGGTGGTCTTTTATTTGGGGTGGTCTAATTTTTTTGAGTTCTTTATATATTCTAGATATTAGTCCTCTATCTGAGGAATAGGTGGCAAAAATTTTTTCCCATTCTGTAGGTTGATTCTTCACTCTGCTGATTGTTTCCTTTTCTGTGCAGAAGCTTCTTAATTTGATATGGTCTCATCTGTTGATTCTCGGTACTATGGTATTTTCTGCACACAGTTAATTACAACTGTGGTTCTGTTCAGACAGTCCTTGCCCATGCCTATGACTTCGCAAGTTTTACCTATTTTATCTTCCAGCAGGTTAAGTATCTTTGGTTTAACATTTAGTTCTTAGATCCATTTTGGTTTTAGTTTAGTACACGGTAAGAAATAGGCTCTAGATTCAGTCTTCTGCATGTGGATAGTCAATTTTCCAGCAACATTTATTAAAGAGGTTATCTTTCATCCAGTGAATGTTTTGGGCCCCTTTTCCAAAGATCAAATAGGGTGGTTTCTGCACCCTCTATTCTGTTCCAGTGATCCTCATGTCCATTTTGCCACATCTTGATTGAATTCTTTCATCAAGGGCACAAAAAACTGAGGACCAAGGAAGCAAGGGTCTGGTTTCTTGCTATGTCAGGACCTAGCTTCCCAGTGACAATCCAAATCACTATCTCAATATATCCAGGTGTGTTGGGGTCTTTCATAGCAAGGAACAGTGGGGAGATGGAATAAGAAGAGACAGTAGACATTCCAGACTTGTTTCATCCCTTCTTGGACCCAGACCTCTCCTCCCTTTCCTGTGGAAATGAAAGTAAGTAGATACTGACTTCCTCGTGCCAGTATCTGTGTATTCTGTCCATTCATCTAGGGGAAGGAAAGTAGGGGTGGTGGTTTAATGCTCTAGCCCTGAGGAAGTTTGGAGAAACCACTTGTGTGTAAAGAAAAAAAAATCCAACTTTTAAAGTTCCATTTTGCTATGCTAGTTACAGGATTATCTGAAGTTCTTCAGCTCCTCTTTGGGAACCTCTTTAAGACCCTGCCTGGTTGAGGCAGGAGATTAGGGCATGGCAAACTAGCTGGGGAATTAGGTGTGACCTGTTAATTACAAAACTCCAGGAACAGTTCCCAAAGCCCTCCACGTGGAACCAATTAGAGTAGAATCTTCAGCTCTTCTCAGGAAAACTTGAGCAGGTTTTTGATAGGATGACTTAGACCTGAGGAGTGGGAGATATAAAAAGACAGTCACCAGCAAACCGGGGCCACTGTTAACTCTTGTAGTGGCCCACCTTATTGTTTTCAGGATGTATCTCTTTTCTTACATACATTTATTTATTTTTGAATTTTTGAGACAGAGTTTTGCTGTGTAATTTAGACTGGACTTGAACTCACCATGTAGCCCAGGATGGCCTCAAACCCGTAACAGTTCTCCTGCTTCAGTTTCCCAAGTGCTGGGATTACCGATGTGCACCACTGTACCTGGCTTTTTCTTACCTTTAGTTGGCTCGAATTCAATTGCAGAGCTTGTTTCTTTTTCTTTCCTACCTTAAAAAAAATAAAAACTTGCTATCTTTTCCACTTGTCTTTTTAAAAAGTAAATTTTATTTTATTCCCCCCCCCTCCACTTGTCTTGACAAATTCTTTGTTCATGTTGTGGCTGTATCTAGATGTCCCCCCAAAGCCTCATGAGGTCATAGGTGGGGTTTTTCAGAGGTGGCTGGATCTAGGGTGTGTGATGATGGGATTGATTCATGGTGCAATGCTACAAGTAAGGCCCCACCCTGGGTGTGCTATGGGCAGGTAGCCTGGATAGACTCCAAGGGACAGAAAGAGGGCTGCTGTTGCCACCTGCAGCATGCCACTTTACTGCTTTGTTGCTTCTCCCCGCCATGAACTATTTCTCCTCTGCAGCGTCCCTCTCCCATGCCAACCTGCTTTGGAGCCAGCCAACTATGAACTGAAACCTTTACACACTGTGAGGTAAATAAACTTCTTCTCCTTTAACTTTGGGTTTCAGGTATTTTGTTTCAGCAATTAGAAAAATAACTAAGACAGTTCAGAACAGAAAGAACCTAGAAACCACCTCTAGAAGGAGACTCTAGCATCCCCAAACCTGGTAACATGGTGACATTTCAAAGATATCTTTAGCAATATCTCCTAAAACCAAACATGTCTACCCTATGTCTCAGCAGTTCAACTCCATCCACCATGGAGTGTAATGAAGATAGCTATCAATTAGGTTTCGATGTTATTGAAATCTGTATTGTAATGTGTTTACAGAGATGCATAATATTTATCCCTCACTTTCTTAAATTTTAAGACTTTCTTACTGTGTATAAACTAAAATGTCTAACTTTTTCTTTCTTTTAACTTTTTCTTTTTGTAGTCCTGAGGATCAAACCCAGGGGCTCACATATGTTAGGAAAACTCTCGACCACTTAGCTACATCCCTAACCCTTAAATCTATTTATTTTTTAAATCAAATTTTAAATGTCAAGTCTTAATAACCTTCCTTTACCACCTATTCACTAATTTATTATCGGTTTTTTGTTTTTTTTTTTGAGTCAAGGTCTCACTATATAGTGTAGGCTGGCCTTGAACTCACTATGTAGTCCAGGTTGGCTTCAAACTTGTGGTGATCCTTCTGCCTTGGCCTCCCAAGTGCTGGGATCACAGGGCTGCACCACCACACCTGGCTTTATTGTCACTTTAAACCAACTAATACTATCAGGAGGTGTTTGTTTTTTTTTCCTTCGTTCTCTATAGAGAATGAAAGGTCTTCAGCAGGAAATTCAGATGCTCACTCAGCAAATGCAGCAGCTGCATCATCTTTGTGAAGAACTCTTGTGACTCTAAGCTAAAGAAAAATGTATGAAACACAAAAGATCTTTGAAATATCTGGAAGGATATCTGAAATATTGCTTTCAATAATTTTTTACAAGGAAAATTACATTTAGATGAAAAAAAGATTTTCCTGAATTATAGATCTTACTGTAACTGAGAAAAAGTCTGATTCTCCTGCCACTTGATTAAGCCAATGACTCAAGAGACAGTGGGCATAACAGCTTTATTTAGTGAAAAAATTTAAAGACTGGAGAAGCAGAAGCTCCACTGAAATAAACTTCTCACCAGAGAGTTTAGGATTTATGGAAACAGGATAGGAATACTGTTGGAAGGAGCTAGGCTAATAAAGGAAATGAATATTCTTTTTCTTATTTTTTGAGGATAGATCTCCCAGAAACTCTGGTACCACCTAATTGCCCTCCTTTATGTTCTGGTGTTTCTGGTCTTAGCATCTGGTAGCTGTCTTTAGCCCTGAAGCAGGGAAGAGAGATGAGGCAAATCTAGGTGTTATAGTTCTGGACAGAACATTTCTCAGTTGATCAACAAGTCTACATGTAGAGCTGAGTAGAATCTGACCCAAAGGTTAGGATAGCAAAGGAGATGGATACAATATGAAGACAGATATGAAGCCTTTAGATTCTCTTCCAGTTGCCTATCAGTTTGTTACTGGATTCTGGGGTTCTGTAGACACCAGGGATTCTTTTCAGATTCATGGTGCCCTGAGCAAATACTTTGACAAGATCTGAGTAAAAGGTGGCAAGGTTTTACATTTATTGATGTATTTGCAGGGCTGGGGAATGAACACAGGGCCTCATGCATACTAGGCAAGTGCTTTACTACAGAGCTACATGCCTAGCCCAGGGATTTTACATTTATTAAAGGTAGGAAAAGAAGTGTGCTCTGTAGAGCAAGAGAGGACCACTGAGAAAGCTCACAGTGGCTGTAGGTTAATGGAAGATGTCTTTCATATCCCCTAATTGTTTAAGCTGATGCCAGATCTAGGCTATCCTATCCAAAATCTGCTTGAGGGCCAGGGATTTAGCTCAGTGGTTATGCTGCCTGCCTTGCAAGTGCAAGGTCTCAAGTTCTATCTCTGGTACCAAAAAAAAAAAAACAACAAAACTCCTTGATTTCATGCCAGAAGAATTGAAGACAGCACTTTCTCATTGGTCCCAGGTGCAGGGTTTTCTGATGGAGCCTGCCATCACTTGTCGAACAGTACCTGAATCGGGGGGTGAGGATGAAGAAAAATAAAGACAAAGAGAGTCGGGAGGGCTCCCAGAGACCGAGCGCCCAAGTTTATTTTTCTCCTCTCTTTTATACAGCAGGTGAGTTTGGTTGTTAATCATGACCCTTATCCAGAGACACCTGCTTCCTTGTTTTCTAGTTCTTTGGGAATTCCCTACCCTCATGGGCTTCCTTGTTTCTCGGTGTTACAGAACATTCATCACGTTCCAGGGCAATCTAATTCGGCAAGGACGCGGTTCCTCATAACATAGTCTCCTTGCTCTATACAATGGAGGGTAAGATTCAAAATGGAGCCTCTTTGGCTAACACTGCTCTCCACACACCGCTCTCCACATCTCCCCCTGTTTTATATATTATGATCAAGGTCCCTTGATCACGCAGATAGACTGTGCCTGTCTTAGGCGAGGAATATAAAGAAATCCCTTACCTGTCATGGAGTCAAGAGCATCACAGTACTCTTGCTTTGTCTTAGGTTGGTGATTTCCTATACTCCTCTTACCCGTCATTGACTACCAGCCTCTGCAGGGAATTATACCATGGGTTTAGACGGTGTAGCATGTAATTATAGACCATGAATACTTCCAGCCATCCTCATTAAAGAATGCACAAACATCTGCAGTAGCGCCGGAAGGATCATGCATCTGAGAGGCAGCCCTCCTCCAATAATTACTATGGAAATGAGTTACCGCATAAATGCAGATGTAGATGGCAGAACTTTTCTAATTTGTTCGATAAAATCCTGTGCAGCCTGGGCTGCATCAAATTTTAGGGGTTCTGCATTTTGGAGATCTATAAGATCCAAATCTAAAAACGCATTCGCAAAACCATTATCTGATTTTCTGTTCGGGTGACACAATTGCTTATTTGACAATTGAAGTAAATTTCACTATAATAATCATAACTTTTCTGAACACTAATATTTCTTACAAGCAATACATAAGAGCACATGACACATGCAATGACATTTCTTTTGGGATGACAAGAATTTTCAGACCAGTCCAAAACATAAGTATCAAGTCCAGTAATATTATATCTCACGGAGGCATCCGCCACACATCTCTTCCATGGAATAGTCTTATTGGAGCATTAAAAGTCTGAGGCACTACACCAGTGGTCTCCATACCCACAGGTAGATGTAGATGGACTCCAGTGATCCCGCCTTTGCACTGATCTACCTGCCTTCCTGTCAGGGTGCGAGCACTCAGTCTGTTGATTTTGAAGAAACATATGGGGGGTTCCGATTTCTGATCCCGTATAGTTGAACAATCGGAACTTGTTCTTGTCAGGGGCCGCCGGCTCATGCAACAGCCTGGTATTGTTCACCCATACCATTACTTGTCCATTTTTTCAGCTCGTTGGATGTACAACAGGTGGATCAGGTACATAAGTCCAATAAACCTTCTCATTAAGCGTCACCATTAGATTTATCAGCAGGACAGTTGTCGGGATCATCCCAAGGGGCAGGAAAATTTCCTGCAAAACGGACCAATCTTTCAGGCAGCCACCTGGCACCTTCAGCATCCTGCGGGAAAACACAAACATGCCCTCGTCCCCATATTAATACCGGGTCGGGCCCACTCCATACACCCGTGAGGGGATCTTTCCACCTCACTTGAGCATGTGATGATTTAGTTTTAGGATGCCACAGCTGTTCTGCTGCAGTCAATCCATAAGCATCCACAATTTCCCTTTGCCAGGGGTCCGGGAAGCCCAGAATGAGCCCTAATGTGACCCACATAACAAGGACAGGTCCGGGCATGTATGCACCGTTGTATCTGAGCAAAGTAATTGATTGGCGAGGTCCGTATATTGCCCTTCTCCTGCCAGCATGTCATAATCAGTATCATTTCTATTAGCCCGATTTAATTCAGCTGTTCTTTGACACTGCTCGGAAAATTCTGTTTTCCAAAGGAGGTAATCTCCCCTAGACAGGCATGCCTTAGCGAGCTGTTTCCAATCTCTGGGAGGCAGCACCTCCATGCTCAACGATTCTAACATAGCCTGAGTAAAAGGTGCGGTAGGGCCATATTGCGCACATGCCATTTTTAACACTTTAAGTTGCTTAAAAGATATCGGTCGATGGATTCTGACCATATTCCCTTGAGCATCAGCTTCCTCAAATACTGGACAAGCTAAACGAAAGCCCTGGGTATCTTCCCCTCTGTCAACCGCATGTTGCAGGGTAGCTTGTAATGGCGACAGACACCGAGAATTGACAGACAAAGGCCTGGGTCCTGGGGAATGTTTAATCATGGCTATAAGAGGGTCAGTTTTTTTCATTAATCTTGGACCTGCAACCGGCGGGGGATCAAGACCAGCAATTATACTAGGAACTATTCCTCCCTTGCCCTGAGTCTTCTATAGGAGGCAGAGGGACAACCTCGGGAACACCAGCCTTGTCAGGCTCCTCCGAGGAAGGACTTGAGGAGGGTCCTTCAACCCTCTCTCCCTCATGCCGAGGATCCAAACTATCTCTAATTAAAGCCCATAAACTAAAAGCATCTATAGGGATTTTAGTGGGTCCATGACCATCGTAATAGTCCTGAAGTTGCTTCCCCACTTTATTCCATACTTCTAAATCTACTGTGCCTTCTTCAGAGAGTCAAGGACAAACTTTCTCTATGAATTCTAAAAATTACATAATTATTGATGCCCTACCTTTGCTCCACGAGACTGAAGTATTTTTTTAAGCATATGTACAAAAAGCAGCCGGCTGTTACCAATACCCATCTTGCTACTCCTGAGTGCATTCACTGCCCTTAATTTATTTATCCGAGCTCACAATGCGCAGTGTCCTTCACTATGGTCCCCCGTATTCAGGTCCCTGTTCGGGCGCCACCCGTGACAGAGCCCGCCGTCACTTGTCGAACAGCACCTGAATGGGGGAGTGAGGATGAAGAAAAAGAAAGACAAAGAGAGTCGGGAGGGCTCCCAGAGACCGAGCGCCCAAGTTTATTTTTCTCCTCTCTTTTATACAGCAGGTGAGTTTGGTTGTTAATCATGACCCTTATCCAGAGACACCTGCTTCCTTGTTTTCTAGTTCTTTGGGAATTCCCTACCCTCATGGGCTTCCTTGTTTCTCGGTGTTACAGAACATTCATCACGTTCCAGGGCAATCTAATTCGGCAAGGACGCGGTTCCTCATAACATAGTCTCCTTGCTCTATACAATGGAGGGTAAGATTCAAAATGGAGCCTCTTTGGCTAACACCGCTCTCCACACACTGCTCTCCACAGTTTTCGAACTGTTTTCTTCGAATGTGTCCTGCATCTCTGTGATTGACAAGCATACCTACTTGCTCAGCCAGCTGCCCTTATCCTAATCTCCTGTCTCAACATTGTCTTCAGGCCCTAATGAAACGTTAGTGTTTTCAACAAAGTGACCTTCAAATCTCTGAAAAGTAATCTGGGCAATCATCATGACCCACAGAGCAGAGATGTTATCTATAGCCATCTAGTGGTACACTAATAATGTATTGTCCAACTGTGTGACATTTAAAATTACTGATTTTGTTTGTTTGAAACGGTCTTTCTCTTTGGTCCAGGTTGGCCTCAAACTTGTGATCCTCCTACCTCAACCTCCTGAGTGAAGGAGATTACAGTGTGCACCACCATGCCTGGCTCCAAAATTAGAGATTTTTAACTCAACTAAAGCAAATGAAGCTAGACTAGAATTTTTTCCTCAGTAACATTACTTTGGGCATTAAATTAATCACATATTATTTTAACATTAATAATTTTAACTATTTTATGTAGAAAGGTAATAAATCTATTTCATGTAAGTTTTAGAAAGAGAAAAATATCTGTAAATCCTTAAAGTTATGCTTGTGGTTTTACCCAAAAGCCAACTGTTTTCTATATACCCTGCTTTTCCACTATACACATATTTGATATTTGTTGAGGGCATGTATTTATGTATTTATAAAGCATATTATAAAAAAAGGAACTCAAGGGAATGACCCTCTACTGGTGGGATTTTGGGCACTGTGTTACCTAGTTATGATGGGTATTGGGAAGAGGCTTTTTATCATATCCCTTAATAATCATTATGTATAGGGTTTAGGGTGTGGCTCAGTGGCAAAGCACTTGCCCTAAAATGTGTGAGGTGCTGGGTTTGGTTCCCAGCACCAAACATAAAAACAAAAACTGTATAAATTACTGCCTTTCTATTTTTTCTTTTCTTGCATCTATAAGAACAAAGTCACCACTGACATGGAGTGGGAAGTATTAGGGTATAATATCATTTATTTTCAGGAGATCCTGATATTGGTATTGTTTCACTACCTCCCCATAGAGCTGCATGTTTTTATTTGTGTGTTTGTCTTGAGACTGTATTGCCCAGACTGGCCTCCAACTTCATAATCCCCTTGCCTGAGCCTCTCAGATAGATGGACTGTGACCTAGCCTGGCAAAAATATATGCTTTATCAAACTTACACCTGTTTTCCTCTGGTGCTAGGGATGGAACCCAGGATCTCATCATGCATGCTAGGCAAATGCTCTACCACTAAGCTACACTCTCTAGCTTTTAAATTATTTTGATAAACCCTGTCTTATTTCACATCTTCTCATTTTCTCAGTATTATCTATTGATATATAACAAATTATCCCAAGACGTAACAGTTTAAACAATTATTATTTCATCTAGCTTCCATGGTCAGGAATTCAGGAAGAGCTTAGATGGTCTGGTTGGTTCTTGTGGAAGTTTTTTTTATGAAGTTGCAGTCAGCATGTTGGCTGGGAAAACAGTCATCTAAAGGCATGGCTGGGCTAGTGAACCTGCTTCTAAGCTCACTCACATGGCTGTTGAGAAAGCCTTTGTTCCACACGATGTGGGCTCTCCACAGAGTGGCTCTCACTGTCACAGTTAGTTTTTCCAAGATCAAGAAATCAAAGATAGACAGACAATAGATAGTTGGATCCATCAATATAACACAGAACCTGTCCTAGTCACTTTCCTCGATCCTGAGACACTATACCCAACACCTGCAACTTAAAGGAGAGGTTTGTTTTGGCTCAAGTTTGTAGAGGTTTCAGTCCATAGTGAGCTGGCTCCAGGCCAGAAGCTGCATGGTAGAAAGGCCTGCCACAGGGGAAAGCTTCTCCCCTCATCACAGACAGGAAGCAGAGAGTCAAAGGAGAAGCCAGGAAACCCACAGTGGCCCTCTTTGGGCCAGGCCCCACCTTCTTACAGCAAGCCAACTTCAGTGGCGCTGTAGTTCAGTCATCTTCCAAAGGTCCTGTCTGTGATCACGTGAGGCTTTAGGGAGACATCTAGATATGAATCATAACATTCCACCCTGGACTCCAAAAGACCCGTGTATGTCCCCTTATGCAGAAGGCATCAAGTCCATCTCCAGGAGCTGCCAAAGTTCCACCATGGCTGAAAAGTCCAAGTCCAGTTTTCCCTCTGAGACTTAAGGCAAACTCTGAGCTGTGAGCGCCTGTAAATATCAAAAAGAGGTTAAACGCTGTTGACGTAGCTCAGTAACCAATATTACCATCACTGTGGTTCTATGGCTTGCTGTCTTTTTCAGAATTGGGATCATTTTAATAACAATATTCTCCAACTTCCTCTACCTTCTTAGTACTGTCTTTTTAGTTGGTTTTCTCCAACTCCTTCATGCAAGACAAGAGGTGCTAGCAAATTACTAACAAGTGGAGACAGAAGTCTAGTTCCTCACTGGGTCTCCACTGACACCCAAGGAGGGGTTCCTTATTACTGCTAAGCAAGTATGGGAGTTCAGTTCCTTTGTGGCTTCCACAGATGCAGTAGGTGTGGCCTAGTGTGATAGTTAACTGTGTCAACTTGAATAAGAAATATACAACTAAATTGGATCAGCATAGCTCTGGGTATGGCTGAGGGGATTTACTAAAGACAGAAAACCCACCCTGGGGTGGCTTGTCACCTGCCTGGGATAAAAGGGAAATGAAGAAGGAAAGATTGCTTCTCTTTCATCAGAGGAGCTCTAGTCTTCACCTTTACCTTGGATGTCACCTCCTAGTATCCAGTGCAGACTCTTCAGCCTCCCATCACAGGCCTTTCAGTCTCCTCATATGGACTTGTACAGGATATTACAGTGAGCTCCAGGATACTAAAATTATAGGAAAGAATGTTAACTTAGAGGTTGGTTTCAAAAAAGTGATAGAGCCCTATCAGCTTGCAGGGAGTTAAATGATACTAAATAAAGCTATGTTAAGGGCCAGGGATTTAGCTCAGTGGTTTTGCCACCTGCTGTGCAAGCACAAGGCCCCAAGTTCGATCCCTGGTACCAAAAAAAAGCTATATTAAAATGCCCTAGGAGAACTTATATTGCTTTATAAAACCAATTTAAATTTGTGTTTGGGCCTCTTGACATTTCAAAACCCAATGTTCACCAGGGATTTAGCTCAGTGGTGTCACACTTGCCTCACAAGCACAAGGTCCCAAGTTTGATCCCTGATACTGGAAAAAACAAAACAAAACCCATTGTTCAATTAACTATTAGTAGAACAATTTTGCTTTATATTTTAAAAAGCATACAGTATTTTTCCTAGCTTCTACATTCTCTATGAGCCAGTGCATAATGTTATTCAATAATGATCAACATTACAGACTTAAAGACATTTCATACATGTTCTGGGAATGGTGGCATATGTCTGTAATCCCAGCACTTAGGAGGCTGAGGCAGGAGGAGCTTGTGAGTTCAAGGCCAGGTTGGACTACATAATGAGTTCAAGGCCAGCCTGAACTACATAGTGAGACCTTGTCTCAAAAAACCGAAAAACGGGCCGGGGATTTAGCTCAGTGGTTCTGCCGCCTGCCTGGAAAGCACAAGGTCCTGAGTTCGATCCCCGGTACCAAAAAAAAAAAAACAAAAACAAACAAAAACAAAAAGAAGTTCAGACATGTGCTGTGAAACAAATACCAACACTAGGTACACTGTTGATGAAACTACCTCTAGCAGAGCTTTAAAT